AATGAATCAGCCGTTTGAACGAATCGAATGAATAAAAGACTCATAGAGACATTTACCGCCACCTGTTGGCAGTTTTAGTTTTTATATTTAGAGTAGGCCTATTATTTAATTTCTTTAAAAAAATTTTTTTAAAAACACCAACTTTGAGGACTTTGCCTCCTCATTTCAGAACACCACCGCTATATGTGTGTGTGTGTGTGTGTGTGTGTGTGTAAAAAGGTCCTCCAGAATCAAGTTTGGTGACCCCCTGTTTGTTTTTTTGTTTGTTTTTTGTTTGTTTGTTTTTTAAAGAAAAATGAAAAAAGCATTTAGGTTACTTCATGAAAGTTCTGTCATCCTTTACTCACCCTTATATCCCAAACACATAAAACATTTGCTAATCTTTTGAAAAACACAAATGGAGATCTAATTGTGTCTAAAAGTGGTTCAATCCTCTTCGCCTGATGACTTTATGATGAACAGACTATAATTTAGACTGTAACTTACATATAAATATTGACCAATTGGCATATTGAGGACATCAAATAGGGTAAATGAGTACATGTTTGATGTGCAATCGGACCTCTTCAGATAATTTATTATTCCTCTATACATTTGTATTACACTCTAAAAATGCTGGGTTGTTTCAACCCAACTTTTGGGTTAAAAATTGAATGTAAAAATTTAACCCAACGGTTGGGTTAGTCCATATTTGACCCAAAGTTGGGTTTGGTAAATGAGTACATGTTTGATGTGCGATCGGGCCTCTTCAGATAATTTATTATTCCTCTATACATTTGTATTACACTCTAAAAAATGCTGGGTTGTTTCAACCCAACTCTTGGGTTAAAAATTGAATGTAAAAATTTAACCCAACGGTTGGGTTAGTCCATATTTGACCCAAAGTTGGGTTGAAACAACCCGGCATTTTTTAGAGTGTAGGTTACTTCATTTTTGGGTGAACTATCCCTTTAATAATAGACAAATCCACAATAAATTTTTAACAATGTCAAGTTGATTTCCTTTAAACAGTAGCCAAACGTTTAAATGTATTGTCAAATTTCTCTAAAATACTACTGTAAATAGCCCACAATTACTTTTCCTATTAGACGAGATATTCGGGGTGATATTAATTTTACTGGTGTTGTTTTGGTCCAGTTCTGAACGCTTAAACATCCTCAGTTTTGCGGGTTTTTAAATGTATTTATTTATTGTTTGTTTGTCCGTGTCAACTTAACCCCAAGTTATCCATAGCAGATCTTAAATCGTATCTTAAAACTTTTGCAAAAACAATAAAGGGTCAAATTCAAATGTATACTGTAGGCCCAAAGTAAATATAGCTTGTCTAACTGAAAGACTGAACTGAGTTCCCGGACAATGGTAGACTATCGATATAGCAGATAGTCTAAAAAAAAAAACAATGCATACAAATACAATTTCTATTATAATTTTTTTTTATTATTTACAATTTGTGGTTTAAATTTTCCATAATACCTTATGTTGGTCAAAACAATGGTTTTATAGGCTATTTTTGTTATTGTTTGAGAAATGTTTGCACTTCATATAGATATAATGTCAGTCATTGGCAATATTTCTTCTTGTTGGATTTATCTAATTCAGATTCAATCATAAAAAGTGTGGAAGGGCATATATTACATTACACAGGAATTTATTTCACAGCAGTGGCAAAAATAGCTTGAAATGTGATGAGTTTCTCTCTTTTATTCTCCATTCGGACATCTGTGAATCCGGAGGACTGCAGTGCTTCCATGTAGACCTCAGGACGCCAGCTCTCCCCGCTAAACATGTTCTTCGAGGCTACTTTTTTAACACTATCTAGCCTGAGAGCTGTAACCATAGTTCCACCTGAGAAACAGAAAATAAATAAAAATAATTTGCACATTGTTTTGAATGTTAGGGTAGAGTGGGGGAAAACACCTCCCTACTGTTTTTCCAAAAATAAGCACAAGATAAAGTCAAATTTTTATTGTAACTATGGACAGGGCCGCGTTATCCTAATTGGCAACATGGGCTGCGGCCCAGGGCCCCGAACACTAGGGAGCCCCCGAGTCAATTCTCTTTTGCATTTTATAGGGTTGCCAACCGTTCCGTATAATACGGAATCGTCCCATATTTAAGGCATCTTTTTTTCTTGTATTTGCAGGCATACGCCGTATGACCACCTAGACCATACAAATAAATTATTATTTTTCCAAAGCATTGTTTGAATTGCGAACGTAGCCGCTCAAGGAAGGCTTTAAAGCAGCACTATGTAACTTTTGGCGCTCTAGCGGTTAATAAACAGAACTGCACACATCCCGCGGAAGAACATTCTAATTGATCGTAAGCACAACATCCAGCTATAAAACATACTATCTACCTTTTACTATTTGCAATAGTTGGACCGAGGCTATGGAATAACCTTCCTTTATCTGTGAAAGCTTCAAATTCTGTTTAAAACTAAATTGAAATCTTATTTTCGTATTAGCTTTTTAAACTTTGTATGTTAAATTATCTTTTGAGTTTACTGATGTTATTCTTTTTACTGGTTTTTATTTTATTTGTACAGCACTATGGTCAGCTGCTGTTGTGTTTATCGGTGCTTAATAAATACAAATACCTGAGGGAAGATGTCTTTCACTATTGTAAGTTAATGTTGTTAAATAGAGAAACAAAA